ACACTTGGATTGGGGTGCGGGAAAAGGACTTGTGAGGGTGGGAATTATGGACAATTTGCCAGCCGAGGTTTTGCTGGGGAACGACCTGGGACCTATGACTTCAGCTTATGCCCCGTCCTACAATGCTGAGGCACATCCTGTGACGACCCGGTCACAACTGGACGAGCCCGAGACCCTTCACCAGTGCGGGAGACGCAGGTAAGACTTAACCCGACTATGACCTCCCCTCCTACCCCGTTGCCCTGGGACACCCCTGCAGCCTTCGAGGCTGAGACCAAAACTGATCCGACGCTCCAAAAATATAGGGAACGAGCCGACACCGGGGCTGGGGGAACAGACCAGGAGACTTTTGCATGGGAACAGGGTCGACTGTACCGACACACAGAGAAAAAAGGGCACCGAAGGAGACAGTTAGTGATACCCCACAAGTATAGGCGGGATATCCTCCGGGTGGGTCATGATATTCCCTTAGCCGGGCACTTGGCAGTAACACGTACCCTACACCGTATTACCCATACCTTGTTCTGGCCAGGAGTACATGCCGATGTCAGGTCCTACTGTAATACGTGTGAGGTGTGCCAACGGGTAGGCAAACGAGGAGACCACCCCAAGGCACATCTCGTGAACATGCCCATTATCGACGAGCCATTTAGCCGGGTAGCCATCGACTTAATTGGGCCCCTGGCCACCCCTAGTCCCTCTGGCAAGAGATACATCCTTACCATAGTGGATTACGCTACCCGCTACCCAGAAGCGGTGGCTTTATCCAATATCCAGGCAGACACAGTGGCTAATGCCTTAGTACAGGTATTCTCTCGGGTAGGATTCCCTAGGGAGATTTTATCCGACAGAGGCTCACAGTTCACGGCAGAGCTGACCCAGCAGCTCTGGCACGTTTGCAAAATTAAATCCCTGCTTAGCTCCCCATACCACCCCCAGACCAATGGGTTATGTGAGCGGTTCAACGGAACCCTCAAGCAGATGTTAAAAACCTTTACTCAGGAGTATAGGGACTGGGAACGTTTCCTGCCGCACCTCCTGTTCGCTTACCGGGAAGTGCCCCAGGAAACCACCGGGTTCTCTCCCTTCGAGCTGTTATACGGTCGCAAGGTACGGGGTCCCCTGAACTTGATCCGTGAGCACTGGGAGGGAGAGACAGAGAACGCTGGGGTCCCCATCGTACCTTACGTACTGGAGCTCCGGGACCGAATGGAGCAATTGGCTAAGTCAGTCCAGGCCAACCTCCAGGCGGCCCAGGGGCGACAGAAAGTCTGGTACGACCGGGGGGCACGGCGAAGAAGCTTCTGTCTCGGGCAGAAAGTCATGGTCCTAAAACCAGTTAAGACGGACAAGCTGCAAGCCGCTTGGCAGGGTCCCTACCAGATAGTGGAAAAGAGAGGGGACACCACTTATGTAATTGCCAGCTGTCACGATGAAAACTTAAGAAAGATATTTCACGTGAACATGCTGAAGGAATACTTGCAAAGACCCGAGGAAGTGTCAGCCATATGTAGCCCTGCGCACGAGGACGCAGATAGTTTACCTATACCTGACCTATTGCTCCATTCGGTCCCCTAATCGACGTTTTATTGTCCATACAGACGCTTCCATGTTCGGGCTGGGAGCTGTCCTCAGCCAAGTAGGAGATGATGGGAAAGAACACCCGATTGCCTACATCAGTCGAAAACTCCTACCACGCGAAGTCAGCTATGCCGCGGTAGAAAAGGAGTGTTTGGCTCTGGTGTGGGCATTAAAGAAGTTAACCCCCTATTTGTATGGACAAGAGTTCACTCTGATTACAGACCATAACCCGCTGGTGTGGCTCAACCGGGTCGCTGGGGACAATGGCAGATTGTTACGCTGGAGTTTATCCCTGCAACCCTTTAATTTTACCATCACCTACCGACCTGGGAAGCAGAACAGCAACGCCGACGGATTATCCCGGCAAACAGATCTCAGCCCAGCATAACCCCACGAGTCTGGACAGCCTTAGTCTGCCCCGAAAAGGGGTCAGACAGTGTCTGCCAGAGTGTTCCACAAGGAGGGAGCATTGTTACAAAAGACTATTGTTACAAAAGACTGGAAATCACTATGTGCTGTTTTTACTCACTGATTGATACTGTTTGCCACAGCATAAGTTAAACAGAAAAACCACACGAATGGATTACACGAACCCTTAGGGAGGCTCCATTCGTGGTACGAACGGGGGACCCCCCAGAAACTGACGTGTGCCGCCACTTAACCCCGTCACCCCGCAAACTACCGAACGGGCGACCCCCCCGGCTCGCGGAGTGTGGTAGCCATTAACCACCCAGATGGCTGCGGTTTGCGGTTAACCACAGGTCAAGTACCCTGCTCCCAGGTGGTCCTCATTCCCTTACCGAACGAGCCCACTACCAGGCCGACAGCGGGACTTCGCAGGAACTGATACCGAGTTTAGTTCCACGAGTTAGACACGAAGTCCCGCTGCTCGCTAAACCAGCAGAAAACATGGCCGCCAACAAAGACTAACCATCTCATAATGCCGAACGGACTTTATACGGCAGAAACAGTACATTCTGTTCGTGGGATTAGAGCGGCATTCGCCTGGTTTATCTATACGAACGCGAGCCTTAAAATGAATGGTGGAATGAATGGTTTTCCTGTAATAATGTACAAGTTATGGATTTTTATGTAGTTTTCTGGGGCATAATAAAACGTGGTCTTTTGTGCGCTTGGAGATAATTAGATTGTAAAACCGTTGGCCTCATTATCTCCAAGCTGGGCGGGTACTACTTCAAATGATACAGTATACTGTGATTGGTTACCTGTTTGTACTGTACCTGTATTCCATCAGGTCCACAGGGGGCTGTCCTTGGACCTGAGGAATCACATAAATTGCCATGCTATGTGCCAGTAAAGCCAGTTCGTTTTGACCCTCAACTTGCAGCCCCGACTCATGTTGTAGGGATCCGGGATATTGATGTTTAGATCGTGCTTGGGGATATTCTACACTTACAGCTGATTACCGAAAGACCTCCGTTCGACTCTCTGCAGCGGGAACCAGGACAACCAAGCGATCAACCCTCCTGCTAGACCGGGGGCAATCGTAACAGGCTACTAAACTGGTTCATGGATTGCGGGATAAAACTTACCAGGAAAGGTTAAAGGATCTTAACATGTATAGCTTGGAGGAAAGACGAGACAGGGGGGATATGATAGAAACATTTAAATATATAAAGGGAATCAACACAGTAAAGGAGGAGACTATATTTAAAAGAAGAAAAACTTACACAACAAGAGGACATAGTCTTAAATTAGAGGGACAAAGGTTTAAAAATAATATCAGGAAGTATTACTTTACTGAGAGGGTAGTGGATGCATGGAATAGCCTTCCAGCTGAAGTGGTAGAGGTTAACACAGTAAAGGAGTTCAAGCATGCATGGGATAGGCATAAGGCTATCGTAACTATAAGATAAGGCCAGGGACTAATGAAAGTATTTAGAAAATTGGGCAGACTAGATGGGCCGAATGGTTCTTATCTGCCGTCGCATTCTATGTTTCTATATTAACCCTTAATGGAGGTAACTAAAAACCTCCATTTGTTTAAATATACATAGGGATTTGGGAATGAGCGCAGGTAACTTTTTTTCTTTGTTTTTTACTGTATGTATTGGGGTTGATGTGTACTATGGCCCAGTGGTGTATCCTGGTTTTGTGCTGCCCTAGGCAGGACAAAACTCAGGCGCCGCGCGACCCCCACCCATCCCTTCCCCCCGCCTTCTAAATACACACACACACACACACACACACACACACACACACACACACTCACACACTCACTCACTGACAGATACGCGTACACTAGCTAACAGAAACACAAACTCACTGACACACACAGTCAAACACTCACTAGCAGAGACACACTCACTCACAGACACACTCACTCACAGACACACTCACAGACACACTCACTCACAGACTCACACACACTCACACACTAACAGACACACACTCACTAATAGACACACACACTAACAGACACACACACACACACTCACTAATAGACACACTCGCACTCACTAACAGACACACACACACTCACATTAACACATGTACTTTTTAACCCCCCTCCTCCAGCCTCCTTACCTTTGGGAGTGCTGGGGAGGGAAGGGGTCTCTATCTCCCTGGTGGTCCAGTGGCTGCTGGGTGGGCGGCATTGGCGGGCGGCTGGCGAGGGAGCTCTTGTGAGCTGACTGCTCAGCTCCCTCGCGCGCCGCAGAGTGAGGCTGGGAGCCGGAAGATGACGTCATATTCCGGCTCCCAGCCTCACTCTGCGGCGCGCGAGGGAGCTGAGCAGTCAGCTCACAGGGAGAGCTCCCTCGCCAGCCGCCCGCCCGCCCACCAATGCCGCCCAGCATGTCTGTTAGCCGCGAGGCTAACAAGACATTTGCCTTGGGCATTTGGGGGGTGGCTTTTTTTGCCGCCCCCTGAAAAATGCCGCCCAAGGCAAATGCCTTGTTTGCCTCGCGGCTAAAACGCCCCTGCTATGGCCGTTACTGCCGCCCAGGAATAATGGGAGTTTCAGCATAGGACTTGTTTTTTTGTAATTGTGTATTCTAACTTTGGCCAGCAGGTGTCAGTGTGTCTCTGTTAATGCAACCCATAGGGCTGATTGGGTGATTGAAAACCTTTTAGAGCCCAGCTGTAACCCAGTTGATATATCTTACAATGCCAACACTGCAAATAAACAGGAAAGGGAGTATAAGAACCTTGTTATACTCCCCATCCCTCACACTATCACAATCACTCCCCTTTAAACTGGCTCTGGTGGACAGTTAGGGCAGCACCAGATAATTGTTGTCAAAATATATATAAAAAATCTTTTATTACTAACGTCCTAGTCACTGTTTGGGTGATTTACTTACCTGCCAGCACTCGTTCAAACTGCCGCTCTTTGCATGAGATTATCAATGTCGATGATCTCAGCCATTACAATCCTTTCCCAAAGGAAAACATTGGGGGGCTAGTGCGCATGCTGCAGAATTTTACTCTGTTTCATGGAAGTGCCTCTGGTGGCTGTCAGTACGACTTGAGGCATGTTAACACTATGGATATTTTTTGGCATTTCTCCTGTCCTGCCTTACAATCGATATGTAAGTGAACAGGTTGTTAATCCAAGGAGAAATCGGATTACCATTATGGAGTATAGAAGGATTTTTGTGGCATTATTGGAAATGGCTACAGTTGGGTGTTTTGCCTTCTTTTGGTTCAACAGCGTAAACAGAATGGGTTTCAGGGTTGAAGTAAATGGACTTTAGCCAATGGCACCCAGACCGCTTCAATCTGTGAGATGCTGGAGATGCCTATGGTGTCCCTTTATAAGGGGGGGAGACATGGCACCCAGACCGCTTCAATTTGTGAGATGCTGGAGGTACCTATGGTGTCCCTGTATAAGGGGGTGGGGGGAAGCACCATAGACGTTGCTATATGATGTTCTGTTCCCTGTATTTTCAGAAATTTATTAACAAGACATCCCACTTCTACTGGATCGGATTAAAGACAGACAGCAAGTGGAACCCGAATTCTGGGCGCCAGGAATGGACCGGGAGATGGGCTGACGGAACCGCCGAGTAGGTCACACCACGACATCTTGTGTTCTTATACCTGGCTGTACATCAAGTAGGATTCTTATTGGCTACATTGTCTGAGGGACACGCAGTTTGGCAGGATCGTAGGGAGATCATAGAGAGATAACTGGGGGTTTTGTTTGGCTTGAGCCATTTGTTGACTGAGTGACTGAGCTTGTTTTGCTATTTTGTTTGTGTTTTCCACTTTGCCATTAAGTACACTCTTCATTTATAATAAAGGACCGTTTTCTTATATCTTCTGTATATATAGTGCTGAAGAAAATGAGGCACGTGAAAAAACTGGTCCAAATTAAATTATTATTGAACAATGAAGCAGGATTACAAAACAAGTGACAGAGTTTTAGCACTTTAAAAGTAATTCAGCTGGCGCGCACCACTATCAGATAAAACCGGGTCTTTATACTTATTGAAGATGTCCAAGTGATGTGGTTTGACCAATCCAAGTCTCTGAACGTTCTCCAGCTCTGAGTTTCTTTATCTCGTCCTCGCAGTACTTGGGTGGCTGATGTACCATGTGAGAGAAAATTTGTGCACGTAAACAGAATAGATGAACCAAGCAGAAATACTTTTGTCTGATATGGCTTTTAAGCAACAATGTGATATTAAGCACAGGGCACGACAAAGGCAGTTAACATTTTCTTTACCAATAGCATAACATTACACAGGAATAAGGAAAATAGGAATAAAATAAAAACACATTGTTTCACAATTTTTCTTTATAATAATTTGTACACATCTAACCCAACTAAAAAAAAATATCTCAAAATAGCCACATATTGATCCTGGTGATGTGCGTTTGTTAAATTGTTTAAATTTGTTAATTTTCTAATTTCGATAAATCTGAAATTCTGGAAATATTGAATCGGAACAAAAATAAATTTGGGAAAAGTGTGTGAAATTCAGATTATTCCCTATGGAGGCACTGTTTAGCAGATAGCTACCTAAATTGGTATCCTTAAAAATGGCAATCCCACATGAATGCGCCAAATTAGGGAGCTATCTACTAAACCGCTTAATGGCTAAAATTAATAAAAGGGCTTCTTTACTTCATTTCTTGATCTTTCAGCTGTTTAGAAGATAGCTCCCTAACATGCTCTCCTTTGGTTTTTTTCACATGCATTCTATATATCCAGGATCAGACAGGGACTTTGACTTTCTAATAGAGCACCACACCAGAAGATCTGCAGCTGCACTAACAGCCCTCCGGACCACTACAGATTCCACCAGACCACTACAGATTCCACCAGAACACCAGGGAATACACTGTACCACTACAGATTCCACCTGACCACCAGGGAATACACTGTACCACTACAGATTCCACCTGGCCACCAGGGAATACACTGTACCACTACAGATTCCACCTGACCACCAGGGAATACACTGTACCACCAAAGATTCCACCAGACCACCAGGGAATACACTATACCACCACAGGTTCCACCAGACCACCAGAGAATCCACTGCACCACCACAGATTCCACAAGACCACCACATAATCCACTAGACCACCACAGATTCCACCCAACGACCAGGGAATCCACCAAACCACCAGGGAATGTATATTTTCCCTCTTCCTGCCTAAAAGATAATCAGGAGGGGAGAAATTGTTATATATAAAAATAGAAAGTTATTACTGTTTAACACCGTCTCCCTGCATTTTGCCCCCCCCCCCCTCCCTAACACATGCTTAGCCCTCACACAGGGCCCTTACCTGACTCACCCCCCAACCTTGTTATACTCCCCATCCCTCACACTATCATAATCACTCCCCTTTAAACTGGCTCTGGTGGAGGTCGATTCATAGAGACAGTTAGGGCAGCACCAGATAATTGTTGTCAAAATATATATAAAAAATCTATTGTCAGTGGTAAAAAAGTGAATTACTGAAATGGTTTCTCTTTGGGGAAGGGCTAACATGCCCCCCCCCCCCATTATTGTATAGGTCCCATCCTCATGGTAGGTAATATGGGGGTCTTTTTATATTATTTTTGTATTTTTTTTAATGTGGTACCTTGCTAACAAGCGCTTCTCAGCCGCCTCAATCACCCATCGCACCTCCAAGCGTTTTTAATTATATGTCTGCAGTCAGCGCCAGGCCGGCAAATAGAACTTCGAATCATACCGCCAGACCGGCAAAAAGAACTTCAAATCATACCGCCAGGCCGGCAATTAGAACTTCAAATCATACCGCCAGGCCGGCCAATAGAACTTCAAATCATACCGCCAGGCCGGCCAATAGAACTTCAAATCATTGTGCCAGGCCGGCAAATAGAACTTCAAATCATACCGCCAGGCCGGCCAATAGAACTTCAAATCATACCGCCAGGGCGGCAAATAGAACTTCAAATCATACCGCCAGGCCGGCAAATAGAACTTCAAATCATACCGCCAGGCCGACAAATAAAACTTCAAATCATACCGCCAGGCCGGCCAATAGAACTTAAAATCATACCGCCAGGCCGGCCAATAGAACTTCAAATCATACCGCCAGGCCGGCAAATAGAACTTCAAATCATACCGCCAGGCCGACAAATAAAACTTCAAATCATACCGCCAGGCCGACAAATAAAACTTCAAATCATACCGCCAGGCCGGCAATAGAACTTCAAATCATACCGCCAGGCCGACAAATAAAACTTCAAATCATACCGCCAGGCCGGCCAATAGAACTTAAAATCATACCGCCAGGCCGGCCTATAGAACTTCAAATCATACCGCCAGGCCGGCAAATAGAACTTCAAATCATACCGCCAGGCCGGCAAATAGAACTTCAAATCATACCGCCAGGCCGACAAATAGAACTTCAAATCATACCGCCAGGCCGACAAATAAAACTTCAAATCATACCGCCAGGCCGGCCAATAGAACTTCAAATCATACCGCCAGGCCGACAAATAAAACTTCAAATCATACCGCCAGGCCGGCCAATAGAACTTCAAATCATACCGCCAGGCCGGCCTATAGAACTTCAAATCATACCGCCAGGCCGGCCTATAGAACTTCAAATCATACCGCCAGGCCGACAAATTGAACTTCAAATCATACCGCCAGGCCGGCCAATAGAACTTCAAATCATACCGCCAGGCCGGCAAATAGAACTTCAAATCATACTGCCAGGCCGGCCAATAGAACTTCAAATCATACCGCCAGGCCGACAAATTGAACTTCAAATCATACCGCCAGGCCGGCCAATAGAACTTCAAATCATACCGCCAGGCCGACAAATAGAACTTCAAATCATACCGCCAGGCCGGCCAATAGAACTTCAAATCATACCGCCAGGCCGGCCAATAGAACTTCAAATCATACCGCCAGGCCGGCAAATAGAACTTCAAATCATACCGCCAGGCCGACAAATATAACTTCAAATCATACCGCCAGGCCGGCCAATAGAATTCAAATCATACCGCCAGGCCGGCAAATAGAACTTCAAATCATACCGCCAGGCCGGCCAATAGAATTTCAAATCATACCGCCAGGCCGGCCAATAGAACTTCAAATCATACCGCCAGGCCGGCCAATAGAATTTCAAATCATACCGCCAGGCCGACAAATAGAACTTCAAATCATACCGCCAGGCCGGTCAATAGAATTTCAAATCATACCGCCAGGCCGGCCTATAGAACTTCAAATCATACCGCCAGGCCGACAAATAAAACTTCAAATCATCCTCCGGTAACAGTATGCTGATCTTTAAAAAAAGAAAAAAAACATAATTCTATATCTGATAAACATCAAAACAAATAATAACATGATTTTAGCCAAATATCCAAGTGAGGCCAGTGGCCATCGGGTTGGGGCACCCGCGGTAAAACTATTCCTTAAATAAAGCAAAATAACAGGCCAAATAAATATCCATGGACGACAGTCACAACTTTGAAAATAAATAAGAAAAAACTATAAAAAAAAGATGCAATAAAAATTATCTTTGTTTGCGATCCAAGGGCTCGGTGCGGCTGTTAAAGTCCCTATAAGGGATTTCCCAAGCAATTCAATGTCAGAGCTTTCTGATTGGTTGGCTTGTGAGCTAACAATCAGAGCGATCTGACAGGCTAATCTCACTTATCTCGAGACCTTTGTGGTAAGTCTTTTATTACAGCGAACAGTCACTGCCTACTTGCTGTTTAGCAGACAAGCCCATGGCGATTTGGGGCATGTAGGAGGTATTACTGTGGGGGTCATATTGACCCCCAGAGGGCTTTATAAATTCCATTTGAATAACTAACATACATTACAACCTTATTATTATAATATTTATCACAGCAATTCTCTCTCTCCTCTTTAAGTCTTCCTTTAATAATTATATATATATTTTAATTATTATAATCATTCTAATGATATGACAATGAACATCTAATAACACATTATTCTTGCATGGAGAGACAAAAGAACACTTATCTCCAATGCAATCACTCACAGTTTGATCTAATTTTCAACAAATTGTGAAAATCAATCATTGTAACAATCCGGACAATCTTTTCCAATTGAATTTCCATTAATTAGATACAGTTTTATGATCATGTTGAGATGATGTGTTTCCACTGGATGTTCACATAGACTAGATATTCAAAATATCCTATCCCTTTTCTTCTTTCTTATGTG